TTCATCTTTTGATTTCTTGACTACTGATGGCAAGGGTGTTGATCATAGAGCCAAGCAAGCTGACACTGTTAATAACCTCAATCTCTTCTCCATCTACCATGGTGCTGTCAATTGGCCCAGTGGCAAGAATCTTTCCCTTTTTGATGTTGTCTTTCAATCCATACTGAAGACTACAGAACTTGACCTTCTACAGCAAACACTTCAGATCCTCCTCAGTTTCAGCAAGGTTGTGTCATCTGCATAACACAGGTGGTTGATAAGTCCTCCTCCAATCCTGATGCCACAGTCCTCCTCATAGAGCCCAGCCTCCCAGATGCTCTCTTTCTTCTGCAAATAGGTTGAAAAGGTATGGAGACAGGACATATCCCTGATGCACTCCTTTCCTGATTTTGAACCATGCAATGTTTCCTTGCTCTGTTCTAAGGACTGCCTCCTGGTCCAAAATAAGATTTGTCTTTGACTTGACAAACTGAATAAAATGTCAATGCATGTAGCCAAAAAGAAAACAACAGGTTTAGGGATTCTGTAATCTATTTACCTTTCTGCTACATTTTGCTAAGTACCATTAAATTTGGTCTGTTGCTGTTGCTACTATCTATCATGAGGTGACTATGATTCATAGTAACTCCATGAAGAGATTGGAACCATACTCTATCCTGCACCATCCTCACCATATCCAGCATGTTCAGGCCCACTGTAACAGGTATTGTGCAATGCATCTTATTGAGGGTTTTCCTCTTTTTCTTTTCCTCACAGTTGATATCTATCCAAGTTAGCTTTTACAGCATTTTACCAATCAATCAGCTGCCATCATACAGGTAGCCTGTGTCTGTCCGGGAATTTGCCCTAGAGAGCTTGTAATGCCCGGTTATAGGGAAGTAGATTTCCAAGCCTCACTCTGAAAGTGCTCATTAGCAACCAAGCACATTAATTTCTTACATCAATTCTTTAACCTTGAAAATTCACAAGACTGTAAAACCTTTAAAGAGAATCTCTACATCTAGGTATGCTTATCAGTCAAAAACTTTTCCATTGAACTTTAATTTCTTTAGTTTATGTTGTGAAATAAGTAACGGCTTTTTCAACTTCCTACAAAGGTATACTATGATATCCAGTTTTCACAGTTGGCAAGAGGTTCTTCAACACCCCTAACTTGATTTTGTGTGCTCCTTCAGGGCAGAAGTCACTGCATATTTAAAAGTGAACATGGAAATACATTCATAAAGTAATTTATAGATTCTAATATGACAGGCTCTACGATCAACCCTGAGAGAGAGAGAGAGAGAGAGAGAGAGAGAGAGTGTGTGTGTGTGTGTGTGTGTGTTTTTACTCAATGTCAAGTACTTAGAAGTCCTCATTGATAGATATTACTAGAGTTCATCAAATCAACCACTTAGGGTTTTTGTTGGCGGAGGTGGTGGCTTTTTTAATCATGCTGAAGATTATCCAAAATCAACAGAGAACTGTCTGAGTGCAGGCTGGGTTTAGAAGATAGCTAATGTCAGATGGATCTTGACTGAAAGCAGAGAGTACCAGAGGAATGTCCATCTGTGTTTCACTGATTATGCAAAGCCATTTGACGTGTGGATCACAACAACTGTGGCTGACTCTGAGAAGAATGGGAATCCCAGAATACTTAAATGTACTTATTTTAAACCTATACTTGGACCAGAAGGCAGTCACCAGACCAGAGCAAGGAAACATTGCATGGTTCAAAATTGGGAAGGGTGTGCATCAAGGATGGGTCCTATCTCTGTATCTTTTCAATCTATATGTGGAACAGATTATCCAAGAGACTGGGCTCTATATGAGAAGTGTGGCATCAGGATTGGAGATAAATTCATCAGCAATCTGCGTTATGAAGATGACAGAACCCTACTTGCTGAAACTGAGGAGAACCTGAAGCACTTGCTGCAGAAAGTCAAGGACCACAGCCTTTAATATGGACTGAAGCTCAACATCAAGAAAACAAAGATTCTCACCACTGGGTTGATTGGCAGCATCAAGATAGATGGTGAAGAGATTAAGATTGTTGACAGCTTCAGTTTGCTTGGCTCCACAATCAACATTCTTGGTACCAGCAGCATTGGGAAAGTGTGCTATATCAGAGACATCTCTAAAATACTGAAGAGCAACAATGTCAGTCTGTAGACTAAGGTGCGCCTGATACAGGCCATGGGCTTTGCAATTACTTGCTATGCATCAGAGAGTTGGACAATGACTAGGGATGACAGAAGGAGAGTTGATACCTTTGAGTTGTGGTGCTGGAAGAGTATTGAATATACCATGGACTGCTAGGAGAACAAACAAGTTCGTCCTGGAGAGAGCGAAGCCAGGCTGCTCCTTAGAGGCAAGGATTCTGAAGCTCTGTCTGACATACTTAAGACATGCTGCAAGGAGGGATCAGTCCTTAGAGAGGGACGTCAGGCTTGGGAAGGTGGTGGGACAGTGCAGGAGAGGAAGACCCTCGATGAGATGGAATGATTCAGTGACTGGGGTAACGGGGATAGTTGTGTCAGAGACAATAAGATTGGCAAGGGACAGAGGAGGGTTTAGGGCTGTTATACACAAGGTCTCGCTATAAGTCGCAGGAGACTCGATGGCACATAACAACAGGGCCATATTTGAGAATTTGATAAAAGTAATGAAAAAACAAACTCCCCATAAAAACAAGCAAAAACACAGAAAAAAATATATAATATACGCACTGTATTCACAAACCCAGGTTTAAAAACCCAACAACATAACTGTCTGGGGTCAAAAATTATCGTACTTGCTTGATAATCCTGTCTTGCACACTGCAATATTCCAAGAGCCCCTTAAAGAGACGTTCCCTGACGGATAAGAATGAGTTGATAGCACTAGCAAATTGTTCCTGCTCTATGGAGTCCTTTCATCAAAAAGTTTTAAAAATTTGAAACTGCCTTTCACTAAACAATAATTCGAATACAGCTACTGTTTCGCTGTTCACATTACATCATTCATTAACTCAACCTCTAATTTTCAAAGGGGTACGCCTTTGTCCAGACTCAAATCCAAAATCCCCTGGCTCGGAGTCCCTCGCGGCCACAGTGACCCTCTGCACAACGGCTCTGCAGGGTTCCAAGGCTCTAACGAAGCCGAACGCCCCATCTTCCTCTCAGAGTATCTGGTAGGTCCTAAAAGCTAGCCGTACTGCGAACAGCCCATCACTGCATCACCAGCGCCCTGCTCCCCAAGCTCTTTCAAAGCCCTACTGCTCCGGGGAGGCAGAAAATCAACGGGTGATGCGGGCCGTATACACCATCAAAGCAGAGAAAGGGAGGTCAAGCGATGGCTACAACCTCGCAACCTCACTACCGCCAAAGGCGAAGAGATTTACCTCAAGTCCCAAGAAAGCCGTCACAACTGCACTCAGACAGCAGCTCCGGTTACCAATAAGCCTCCGACCTCCAGTTACCATAGCGACTTCCCAGCAACGCCCCCTCCCGCTTCCCGCGATACTTCGAGCTACGCGCTCCTCCCCCACACCCCGCCCGGCGCGACGTCCTCGCGTATCCATGGCCCCGCCCCGCAGTGAGCCCGCCCGGCCTTGAGGCTCCCTTATTGGACGACTCAGCCTCTCCTCCGGTGATGGGCGGGGCCCGGCTAATTTTTTTTTTTTCCTTTTTCACAAAATGGCATTTCCCCCACCATCACCACCCCTTGTTTTTAAATTACAGTGCGGATGCTATAGGCTACAGGTAAATATTCCCTCGTCCTTCCCTTGCACTAAATAGACACATCCCACATCCCAGTGGCCCGGGTTGGGCCGGGAACTCGCACTTGCGCAAGAGTGACCAGAAGATGGCGGTGGTAATCGCCGAACTTTTTTTTTTTTTAAATTAGTAGTTCCCAGAAAGCACTGCGCGTATTTGTAACGAATTTCCGTTCGAGTTTGTATTTTAGGCGCCATTTTCGAGTGAAGGACCCGGAGCTGAAAACACCGGTAGTAGCCGGGGCGGAGACTTACTCAGCTGGGTGCGAGCTTGGTCTGCGTGGACTCCCCCGCAGGTAAAGTACGTGTTTTGCTGGTCAGACTGTCAGATATCTTGCCCTGGGCGCGTCTGTGGGCGCCCGGGAAGCAGAGGCCTCGAGCTGGAGGCGGCCGGGGCTGGGCGATCACGCTCGGGGCACCCCTCCCCCCGCGCCCGCTCCCCAGCCGCCGGGCTCCCGCGCGCCGCTCCCCGCGCAACTTTCCTGAGCGGCATCCCCGAGAGCTTGAAAGCCTCGCAGATCTCTTCTCCAGAACTACTGGCCACTACCGAGAAGAGGCGTCTCCCCCGGCCCGTCGCTCAGCACCCTTCTCCCGGGGGATTAGTTACCCGGCCCGAGCCTTCGCTAGTGACCTGTCAGGGCCGTGTGTCATCTAATGAGATCCCGCCTCGGACCCACAGCCTCCTGACATCCCCAAAGCATTGAAACGAAGCAGGTGCGCCCTGGCCCCGACCGGGAAGTCGCTGCTGCTGTTCCCGGACCTGCGGCCGTGCTCCTGGGGCGCGAAACCCCGAGCCGTCAGCCTCCCCGGGCTGAGTGGAGGGGGGCGGGAGCTGGTGCGAGGGCGCTCGGGTGCAGAGTTGTTGACCACCTGCCTGAGGTTAACGATGACCCCTCTGAAGGTGTGTGCGCTTGCACCCCTGCCCCGGAGAGCGCGGGAGGAGTTTGTTACCTTGCGTGTCAGGGTTTCCTCGCCTGAAGTTCCTTTATGAGGGTTACTCTCCTGCATCCACCCAGCGATGTCGGGCGGGGCAAATGAGAGGGTCCGAGAAGGGCGAAGAACCTTGGCCATTGGCTGCCAGGCACGCGGAGACCTTCCCGCCTTCGCACGGCTTGTTGGTTGCAGTGTAGGAGTTTCTTCCCCGAGGACCCGCTGCCTGGGACCGGGTCTCAGCGGGCCGGTGAGGAGAGCTGGACGGGGATGGTTGGCTCGGGTCCCCTGCCCGCACCTGACTTACCCCGGTTCTTCCCCGGCCCCAGTGACCATGCCCCGCAAAGGCATGCAGCCCTCCACGGCCCGGCGCCCCGAAGAGGAGCCACCGCCGTCCCCCGACAGCCCTTGCCGGGACGCCGAGTCGGGGCCGCCGCTGTCCGAGCGCACCCAGAGCCCGCCCGCGGCCGCAGGTGAGTACCGCGCGCTGAGCCTCTGCGCCTGGACCCTGCGGGAGGGGGCGAGGGAGGAGCGCTTAGACCCCGCGCTTTCCCGGGGATCCTGCTGGAGGGGGGCACCGCACACCGGCCCCAGAGCCTCTGTCCTGAGACCACTGCGAATTTCCCCGGGACCCTGCTGAAGGGGGCGAAGGAGGAGCGCTTAGAGCCCTCGCTTTCCCGGGGGAACGAGAGGAGCGCGCTTCGCGTTTGGATTTGTGTACGCGTTTATCGGATTTGGGTGCTTGTTTGTGGTGGTCCGGACTTATTCCTTTTGGCGGAAATGGACACGGTCAGCCGAGAAATTAGTGGACTTCCTCCCCCACCCCACTGTCCTTAAGATTGTATGTGGGTGTGATTCGTGAGCGTGTGGCTGTCTCTAATCTCATTTCCATCGTCTCTAAATTCCCTTTAGACTCACCCAGCTGCTTTGGAACACTCTGTGTCACTTAAGCTCTCGGGGTCTAAAATTGTAGTTCTAGATGCTCAAAGATGGGGAGACAGTTGTTCACGATGTGGAGTGGTTTAAAATTCAGTCAGAATGATAAGGAGTCTTGCTAACGCAGTAAGGAAAACACCCGATTACTAATGGAAAGGTAGGCAGTTTGAACCCACTTAGCTCTTGAAGGTTGGCAGTGGTCTGTGTGAGCCACTCGATGCTGACCATAGCTGACCCAGACGTACGGTAGGGAGGCGATTGAGCAGCAAAGTCTATGGGACAGTTCTTACTCTCCTCCTATAGGATCACTATAATTTTTGGATCTGCCCCACTGCTGTGGATATGGGTTAGAATGGGAAGATTTGCTTTGTGATTTTGTATTTGAATTCCTATGTGGTAGAGTTCTGTAGAACATTACTTTCTAAACACTTTATTAGAAAAAAGTGGGAGATACTTTCTTCCCACATAGGAGTTCAGGGTAAAACTGTATTTATGTAAAAGTGGAAACTTTAATAAGTAATAACCCTTTCCAACTCAGCAGTTACCCTCCTAATAAATTGTACTAATGTAGGTTTCCTCTCACCCCTTTCCTTTGACTTAGATACTCCAAGTGAGGAGCTTGACAATAGAAGTTTAGAAGAAATTCTCAATAGCATCCCTCCTCCACCACCTCCAGCAATGACCAATGAAGCTGGAGCCCCTCGGCTTATGATAACTCATATTGTAAACCAGAACTTCAAATCTTATGCTGGAGAAAAAATTCTGGGGCCTTTTCATAAGGTATTTGCTCATTTTATAGAACTGTTTTGTGTAACTACTGTGCTTCTGTGTCTCCTGAACTGTTGATTGTTGCATAAGGTTTCGTATGCTTTAAATGGTGAAATTTGGTTTTGTTTATCTAAGTTGCTTTTTTAACAGTATCTCACTATAAGGTTTCTTATAAATAAGATTAGTAAGTTTTTGTTTGAAGGGAGTACTTGTTTTTAAATTAAAAAAAAATTAAACAAGATTAGACCAGTCTTGTTAAAAAAAAAATTAGACCATAGTCTAGTTATTAAAGCTTGTAAAAAGAAAACAAGTTGTAATTGAGTACCTTCTAAAATGTAAATATTTGTAGTTGAGCAACATTTAAATAAGCAATTTAAATTAAAATCTACCAGTATGCCATTTTAACTTTAGCTTTTGTTTTGTTTCTTTTTCTTTTTATGCAGCGTTTTTCATGTATTATCGGGCCAAATGGCAGTGGCAAATCCAATGTTATTGATTCTATGCTTTTTGTCTTTGGCTATCGAGCACAGAAAATAAGGTCTAAAAAGCTTTCAGTACTGATCCATAATTCTGATGAACACAAGGATATTCAGAGTTGTACTGTAGAAGTTCATTTTCAAAAGATAATTGATAAGGTAAGGGATTGGGGCTAATTATTTGAAACCACATTGCATATTTTATTGGTTTTGAGTTTGAATCAGCTTTTTAAAATTAGCGTCGAAGCAGAACAGTTAACTGATCCCATCACCTCTGTGACTTTGTTTTGTGAAGGATTTTGGTGGCTATTAAGCTTAAAATAGTAACATTGTTAACCAGAGAAATGAATTATAATAATTTGTAGTAATCTTTATATTTTTAATTGAGCAGTCTTAGTATCTACAATGCTAAATTTATATTTTATTCTAAATTTTTAATTATTCTAAAGTCTCTTTTTCTTGCTTTAAGATAAATTGCTAATTGTTGATAATGTAACAGTTGCCTAATTTTACTATGTCCTTTTAATTCATGTGAAATTTAATGTTGGTGATGCCATACATGTATCAGTGATGATGATGATGATGATGATGATGATGATGATGATAAAGAGCTTGCTTTCAGTTTAAGTTCCTCTGATTGAGGCTTTTAAATGTAAAAAGACCATGCTAACATTTGTTTTCTAAACATGAAAATAATTAGAGGTAAACTACTTAGATTATTTGCATTGTTCTTTTGATTTTCAGGTTTGATTTTGTTTTTCTTCATAGTTAACATTGAAAAAGTATGGTTTAAAAATAATCTAAATGAACCTTATAAAGTGAAATTACTAATTTTTATTTTTTTATGTGTACAACTAATTTTGCTAATACTTTTTATCATTTGTGCTAGAAAACATAAATCATATGTGGTTCTTTTGTTCTGTTTTGTCTATAAAGAGTCATTCTGTTACTATAATTAACATGACGGCATTTTTTTAAGGGTACGAGAAAGCAAATTTTAAGATTAAAGTAAATTTGCACTTGTGGGGTTTTTGGTTTTTTTATCTGATTTTTTTCCAGTAAATCCAAGCATATATATCAATTATTTCCAACTCTCTTGTAATTTTCAATTAATGACCGATAAATACTCTTTATTCCACTGTTCTGCCTTCTCTCCCTCTCTCACCGCCTCCCCCCCCCCAAAAAAAATCAGGTCCCTCTTTACCTCTTATCTGGACCTACTTCTGTAGCTTTTTAAAAATAAACTAGTAGTTTAATCTACCAGTATGGTATAATAATTTAAGCAGATTTGTTTGGGGTATCCTTCCATCAACTCTTGTTTTCTCAGAATGTTTTTAGATTTGTTCAGTTTTAAGAAGTTTGTTTGTTTTTAATTGGTGTTTTCATTTGTGAGCATCAGGAACTTAAAAAGTTAGCTCTTTGCAAAACAAAATTATTTAAGAGATTAAATTTGCTAGTTTGTTATGAGTACATTCTATCAAAGTTTTTTAATCCATAGAATTTCTTCCAACATGAAATTGGAAGTGGACCTATGACCAGCAATTGTTTCCTGGTTTTGTTTTTCCTCAAAACAGGAAGGAGATGATTATGAAGTCATTCCCAACAGTAACTTCTATGTATCCAGAACAGCTTACAGAGATAATACTTCAGTGTACCACATAAGTGGAAAGAAAAAAACATTTAAGGATGTTGGAAATCTTCTTCGAAGCCATGGAATTGACTTGGACCATAATAGATTTTTAATTTTACAGGTAAATTGATTAAAGTTTAACAGTTCTTTTCGTATTTCTGGTTTATTTTTGTTTTCAGTATACGTGAGGGGATTTTTCCTTGTTGGTTGAGTCCTAGTTTTTTGAAACCTTAAAGTACTATAGCAGCACATCATGGTTTACATACTACTGTTAAGATGCGAATCATTATTTGCTGCTCTAGAAATTTAAGGAAATTCATTCAGAACACAGTTTTCATCATCAGATACTCATACTATGTTTGGATGGACTAGCATACTTGTTCCGCTCTAGCAGCACGTAAATATTGGCGTAGTGAAATAAATAGTAAACACCAATATTATTGTGCTGCTTTAGTGTGACAGGGATATAACAACTATCATTTTTATTTGCATTTTCCTTGAAGATAAGGGGTTTTGGTTTGTTTTGTTTTTTAAAACATTGTGATTTTGGGGAAAACTTATCTAGCCAATTAGGGTCTTAGATATTTTTCACATTGTGTAGGTATCTGATTGTGTTCTGTTTGCTGTTTTTTTCCAGTAGTCTAGTTTCCCTGTTTCCTTGTCATCTTGGCAGTAACATTTCTAATGATATTCATTAGCTTTTTATAGTGTATTGTTTTCCTTTAATTTTGTTTTTGTTATTTAACAAAGCAAATGAAAATATGCTTAATGCTCAATAAATTTAGCTTAACACCTGATTTCCTCTTAACACTTTTTTCAGTGTTAAAAATGTATTCAGATTGATAGTTTGCTTTATTAATTAAAATCTAATTTCTTGAACCACTACTTATAAGTAAGTCCAAAAATAAGTAACTGAAATGTATTTTACATACCTGGTATGAAATTAGTTTTATTAGACATTTTGTATTCCTGCCAACTAGCATTGCTTGTTAAGAAAATTACTTATCTTCTGTTACCTTTTAAAAAATTCATTAGGCATTTTAAAATTCCTTTTTTATTTGAAACTATTTTATTTCCTGGCTCCTGTGTACTGTCACTAAGACCATAAAAATAAAAGCAAAAATAGTGGTGTAGAAATTATTATTGATATTCATTCTTGTCTTATACTACTGATATTGAAATAACTCACAAATTTTTAACCTAACATACATAGCTTTATTAGAATAACTAGAATGTTCCTAGTAGCAAATTTAAGAAATGCTAGTCCCTATTTCCATTTTAATTTTTACCCAATTTTTTTAAAATCCATAGTGTATAAGGTAAATCAATAGCATTCTGGCATACCCTGTGTAGATACCTTATATAGTATTATTACACAGTATATTAGTACATTATATTAGTAGTGCTTCTGTGACAAAACTTGTTTAACTTGTTGGCAAATGGGGTGAACTTTCCTATCACATGGCTTGATTTGGTAAATTATAGGTGAAAAGTCATATCCTTTTATAATAATAAACGGGATGATGAAAACTAATTTTGCTGTTTATTATTTTTCTCCCTGAAATATTAGTCAAAGCTTTGTCTTTGTGCAAAAGCTGGTCAGACTGTTTTTAAACTTTCTTATAATAATGGTTTTGTAATTCAGTCTAGTTTTATGTAATTCAATAAAGAAAGAAAGTAATAATAACTTCCCAAGGAACTTAATGAGAAAAATTTCTAAACTTTTGCATTTCTATTGTATAGGTTTCTAAAGTACCAGGGACACTTAAACTATATGTTCTCATAATATTCCGCCCTTTTTGTAATCTTAACAATTTGAACTTTTTAAAAAAAAACCTAAGGTAAACTTTTCAATTTAATAGATTTGATTTAGTTCTATTACATTTATATGCTAAAAACTGTGAATTCGTCTTTTCGAAAGAAGAGATTTGGCTAGTGTTCCATAAAGAGTTTGAAAGTAGTGATTGTGTCTATAGATTTTTACTTAATTTCTTATCATCTTAAACTCCTGCTTTAGAAATTTTTAATATTTGAAGGTAAGTACGTGGATTTTGTTACCTTCTATCCTGAATGAAGTTTATCTTAAAATTTGTTTGAAAGCCTAAGAACTTAAGGTCACATCTGTCCTATATCACTTGGAAGTCACTCTTTTACCCACAGTACAGGTTACCAGTTAAAAGTAATCTAAAGTTAATAAAAGTTGTTTTTAAGTTAAAAGCACCAAATTTTACAAGTTGACAAGGGCCATGAGATTTTTGTACTATATAAATGGCTATTGGTTTGGTAAATTTTGATCTTTCAAAAGAATACCTGATGAGATACTATGCTGTCAGTGACATAGAGATCATTCCACCTTGTTTCTTGACCCTCGAGATTCTTTTATATGCTCTTTAAGAGTGCTATAATATAACTAGGCTATTTTTTTTTTCTATGTTTGTACATTTCCATGTTTTACATATATCTTATTTGGGTACCTTTTCTCCACCAGAGGCTCTGAGAAAAAGATGAGCAGTCTCCTCTCATATGATCTTTAGCCTCGTGAAAACCCACTGGCAGGACAGTTATGAATTGGTTCTAACTAAGAGGCAATGAGTTTGAATTTTAAGATGGTTTTTCTCCTTTTAACAGTATACAGTCCAAATAAGTAGGTTCTGTCCAGTATGGGTAACTGTCTTATAAATTTGGCTTAATTAATTTTGGTGCCTTTACGCTATTCAAGGGTGAGGGTGATAAGCACTACATTTGTTTAAAGTTTCATTTTATACAGATTTCCAGTTTATTACTTTTTAAGCTTCATATTGTGAACTCTGACTTAATTTTAAAGGCAAAACACAAGTTTATTTAGTAATTTTGGGAATGGGATTAGCCTAGGTTTGCATTCTTCCTGAGTTGATATTACATATATACTGTTTAGATTCTTGGTCATGTTTCTGTAGAAATAAAATTGCCCTTTAAAAAAAAAAATTAACGTTATGCTAGTAACGCAATGGAGCCTGGTTGAATAACTAACTTCATTTGTAAAAGAGAGTGCATATCTGCTTCTTAAGGAGCCAAAATAGTTATCAAGAATCTCACCCAAATAATACTGATGGTTATACTTGATTAATACAGATAATGGTGCTAAGTCATACGTGATGAATGTTGACATGACATATGTTTTGTTATTAATTTATTTACTACACTTAGAAAGGGAGAAATGAGAGTCCTTCTAAAATATTCTCCTTTCTGCACTTATATTAGACAGATATAAATAACCCAGATGATTTGCTTTCTTAGCTTCTAGTAGCATGCAAAGAGCAAAATAAAATGAAATTAATGTAAAATATGATGACAAGAAACAATAAGCTTACAATTTCTTGAAAACAAAGGTCCTTACTGTAGGACCAACAGTCAATATTATGATAAATGGAAGAAGAATTGAAGCTGTCTGTTGGATCAGCAGTCAGCACCCTCGGTACCAGCAGTCAGGAAATCAGGAGACGAATTGTGTTAGGCTAGTCTGCTCTCAGGGACCTTGATCCAGGCCATGGTCGAGAAGTCACCTGCTGTGCATCAGAGAGCTGGATAATGAATAAGGATGATGGAAAAATAAATGATGACTCTCATATGGGGTCCAAGAGAAGCATATATGTCTTGGAGGCAAAGATGGTGAAGCTTCGTCTTTCATACTTTGGACATGTAGGTAAGCAAGGTTATTCATTGGAGAGGGATATCATGCTTGGGAAGATGGGGTGATATGTGATGGAGAGGAAGAAGACCCCCAATGAGATGGATTGACATGGCTACTTAAGCAGTGTGAGTGTTACGAGAGATGGATAAGGATGGCACAGGATAGGGAAGGGTTCAGGTTGGCTACTTATAGGGTCGCTATGAATCATACTCAGCTTGACAGCACCTAATAACAAGGATAAGGTTTTACTGGGTATATACTTATTTTCTCCACCTCACTTGCTGAAACTGAGGAGGACCTTGAAGCGCTTGCTGCAGAGGGTCAAGGACTGCAGCCTTCAAGATGGATTGAGGCTCAATATCAAGAAGACAAAGGTTCTCAGCACTGGACCAATTGACAGCATCAGGATGGATGGTGAAAAGATTGAGATTGTTCACAGCTTTGGTTTGCTTGGCTCCACAGTCAACACTCTTGGCACCAGTAGCCAATTAAAAGTCGCATTGCCATGGGAAAGTCTGCTGTTAGGGATCTCCAAAATACTGAAGAGCAATGGTGTCTCCCTGGAGACTAAGGTACATCTGTTAACAGGCCATGGTCTTTGCTATCACTTGTTATGCATCTGAATGTTGGACAATGACTAGGGAGAATAGAAGGAGAATTGATGCCTTTGAGCTGTGGTGTTGCAGAAGAATATTGAATGTACCATGGACTGCAAAAAAAACAGATTCATCCTAGAGAGGCTTAAACCAGGCTACTCCTTGGAGGCAAGGATTCTGGGGCTTCGTCTGACATACTTTGGACATGTTGTAAGGAGAGACAGGTCCTTGGAGAGGGACATCATGCTTGGTAGGGTGGAGGGACAGCGCAGGAGGGGAAGACCCCCTGAGGTGGATTGATTCAGTGACTGGGGTAATCGGGATGGGTGTATTGGAGACAGTGCGATTGGCACAGGACAGAGCAGGGTTTAGGGCTATGGTACATAGGGTCTCTGTAAGTCACAAGCAACTCGATGGCACAAAGCAACAACAACAGTACTGAACTAAATATGCAGAAGGTGGAGGTCAAAGAAAAAGGAGTGAAAATATCCGGCTTGAGAACTATCGAGCCCCGTTAGGACATCTACTTAATACATTTAAGATTTTCAAATGGTACTATGATTTAGATTATCATGAACTAGCTTAATAACAGCTCTTAATACCCTGGTTTACCATCCGACAACAAACTTGAGACTTAAGTCTCTAGTGTTATATATGTCTTCTTGCAGCATGTTATTTGTAAAAATTAGTTGACATTTCCATGTTGGCTAGTTGTTTCTTAGTTTTTAAGGACATAACTATAGGAAGTCTGCAATAAATTAACAATGAAAAAATTCTTTACAATCTTTCTAGACTATTTAAAGCTTTACAAATTAAAGATACCAAGCAGCCTAGCATTTTAGAAACATTTTTATGTAATTGTTTCTCTTATTATTTGAGAGCTTTGATGTGGGTGACTTTAAATTCAGATGGATACTTTTACATTGGTATATCTGAACTGTCTTTTGTTTTGTCCTAAATTAAAACTTTTTTATAATTTTACTTGAGATCAGTTTTTTGAGAAATATTCTAGACCCATATGACCTATGTGGAAGAGAGCAAAAACAAATGGTATCTGAGATGGTAGGCAGAAGGTGAGCAAAAAAACAGAAATAATGCCAAAGTTGGCCCAGATTGTGAAATACCTGTTAGTCAAAGGAGAAATAAAGGCCTAATTGTTCTACTACTCTGTTGATTCTAATATTGCTAATTAGATAATAGAGAATCTGATGAAGAAATTAATGCCATAGAACATAATTGTAGTCTCTGGAATAGATAATCTAAAAATCTTGACTTGAAAAGCCGGGGAAGAAGATGATATTTCTATGTTGGGCTATCCAAAATTGATTATTATATGGGATTTGAAACAGTTGTTTTGTTTTGAGGGTTTTTTTGTTTGTTTGTTTGTTTGTTTGTTTTGTTGTTGTTTTTTGTAAACTTCATGTCCCCTCATTTTAATTGTCCAACTGAGCAAATTTTTAGAAGAAAACCAAAGCTATGTCTTTCATTTTACCTGGGGAGGGAGCAGTAATAACTCAAAGAAAAAGCCTCTGCTTTCCCAGGGTTGTCTCCTGAAAACTTCCTGTACTTTCATGCAGTAATTGGTAATCGATGCTTTCTGGATTATTTTTACTTATATAAATAAATTCATACTGAGTTCCCAGTTTTCATTATATGAAAAATACATACAGTGTTATAAATGTAGTGGGTCCTGTTGGCAACTATGGGCTAGAGGCCAAAGATCTACAAAACTTCCTACAATTATGAGTACAGCTCCTCACCAAAGAATATTCGAGCCTAAAATGTTAGTAGTAACACTTGGGTTTTTTTATTATTTTTTTCTTTATTTTATTTAA